AGGGGGACGCGGCATGGACAAACCGGGGTTACCACCAGAGTCGGCAGACTCCTCAACGGGGACAACCGACGGGAGGGGAGTGACGTGAGAGACACCAGACGGGGCAGGACGAGGCGGGAGAGGGGCAGGGGCTACCGGGGGAGAGGGAGCAAGGAACAGGGGGGGGGCAACTGGGAGACCTCGGTAAGGGAAGCGGCGGTAAAAGGAGATGGACTCGTCAAAGGTAACGTCACGAGAGTGGAGGAAGCGATGAGACGGCGGGTGATAGAAAAGCCAGTCAGACGAGTCCAGGGGGAAACCGAGGAAGACACAGGGGACAGTGCGGGCAGTGACCTTGTCCGTGCCAGAGGCACGAACGTGAGCAAGGCAGCCCCAGACGTGGAACGCAGACGCGTCACCGGGGGACCCGGTCCAAAGAAGGGTCGGCGAAACCTGCGGCCGCTGGGAGCGTGGCCACAGGTTAAGCTGGTGAGCAGCGTAGAGAAGAGCGAACGGCCACAGAAAATGGGGGGCATCGGCATGGATCATGGAGGTGCGGGCGACCTCCATGACCAAGCCGATGCGGCGCTCAGCAACCCCATTCTGCTGTGGCGAGTCCGGCAAGGTGTACGACTGGGTGATGCCCTCCGCACGACAGAACTGTCCAAGCCGACCAGAGGCGAACTCGCCGCCACGGTCGGAGTGGAGACACAACACGGGGAGACCGCGGTGGAGACGCGCAGCCACAACCCACGGGAGAAGAACGTCGGGCACGTCGGCCTTCCGCTCGAAGGGAAACACCGTGGTGTAGCACGTGTAGTCGTCGACGAGTACAAGGAAGTAGCGCTCACCGCGCGGTCCGGGGACGGGGGCAGGGCCCCAAACGTCCAGGTGCAGGGTCTGAAGGGGGACAGTAGCAGGGCGCAGCGAGGAGGAGTGAGGGGCACGGTGGAACCGGCCCTCGACGCAAGGCGTGCACGGTGGCGCAGTCGAGGGAGGAAGGGCGGGGAGCGACACAGGGAGACCTAAGACAAGGCCGTGCTGGGACATGTGACGCAGACGAGGGAGAGCAGGGTGACCTAAGCGGTGGTGCCAGAGAAGGGACGGGTGAGTGAGGGAACGACACGAGCAAGCTGCAGCAACCTGGGAGGACGCACCAACCGGAGGGGAGGCGGTGTCTAGGGAAAACAGACCGGACATCGGGTCCCTGGGGAACGTCGCAAGGGGGGAACCTGAGACAGCCTCAGAAGAGACAGCGAACCGCTCGTGTCCGGGGAACGTGGTGGTGACGCCGAGGTCCTGGAGACAGCCGACACCAACCAGGTTCCTCGAGAATGAGGGAACGTGGAGGCCTGTAAGGGAGCTTGAGGGAACGGCTGGACAGGGAAGGGACGTAGAACTGCGAGCGACAACAGGACCCGCAGAGGGGTCGGCGAGAGAGACAACAGCTGGCGTAGCAAGCGGCGTAAGTGCGGAACGGTCGCGGAAGAAGCAGGCAGAAGCACCGGAGTCGAGAGTGAAGGACAGCGCAGCAGTTGCAGGGGCGGGGAACGGAGCCGGTGCAGAGACGAGGCTAGACAAACTAGGCAGTCCTACGCCTGACGCAGCAGGGGAGGCTAGGCTACACAACGGTGCAACACCTAAAGTAGAGAACACAGGATAATAAGATCCAGCAACACTAGCAGCGTCAAAATACATGGCATGCAAAGCAGCACCTATCTGATCCATGTCTAACTCAAAGATCGGCACGCCCGGGCGGAGCAGGCTGTGCCAGTCTGGGAGGTCCGGGGCCGGGCCAAAGCGACGACGAAACAGATCGTCGAGGCAGCGGAAACAGCGGGCAGTCGGGTGCGGGCGGCGGCACAGAGTGCCGCGAAGGGGCCCGGTCTGAAGCTGGTACTGACAGGTGACAGCACCGGAGCCGCTGGTAGACGCCAAGCTGCGCGGGCCGCCACCGCTGCCACCACCCCCTGAGGAGCCGGGCCAACCAGGCGGGAGGCGAGCCCACTGCTGCGGGGGCTGCGGCTGGGACGGCGGCTGCTACTGGGATGGCGGCTGCGGCGCGGGCTGCTCCTGCTGCGGCTGGGGCTGCTGCTCCTGACCACCAATGCTAGTCCCCCTAGACGGACTACTCTCACGACCACCAGCACCACTACCTGCACCACCACCCTACCACCCTGGCGACCACGGCCACCGCGGCGCGAGCGCTGCTGCGGGTGGACCGCATCAGCCGTCTCGGTGAGAGGGGTCGCCGTGGTGACCGCAGCCGAAACGTCAGTGAACGTGCACTGGGAGGGGGCACAGCCGTGAAAGATAGAGACTGCCGGCGCACCGCTCGACTGAGCGATAGTGCGTTGGCGAGTCTCGATCTCGGTGAGGGTGTCGACAAAGGCAGTGAGAGTGAGGTCAGCCGGGTGTAGGCTAAGGAAGTGATCGCGAGCACTAGCGAGGCGGTCAGGCAGGCGCATGGCAATAAAATAGAGCGTCATGCAGAAGGGGGGGGGAGCGCAGTGAGCTGGGCAGCAGTACTGGCAGTACGATAGCGGGTCTCTAGAGCACGCAGGTGAGTGGCAAAGTCTGCGACGGTAGGGAAAGCTGCAAGGTCTGGGAAAAGCATAGGGAAGAGCAGGCGACCAGCAGAAGCAGACGCGGGTGTGGAATAGCGGGCAATAACAGCGTCTAAGTAAGCTTTGGCCGTCTCAATAGTAGCAAAACGCGAGCGCTCAGAGACAGGAAGGGCATGGCTAATGGCGACCTGAGCGACTGCATCGCGGGAGTCCCAGACTGCACGGGCAAGCGCAGCAGTAGAGAAGGTCTCACGGTCATCAGAGGAGGAATCAACAGGGAGGGGGGCAGGTACAGGGGGGCGGGGGAGCTAGCCGTCAACATGGACAACCAAAGAGTGGCCATCCTGACGCTGACCTGTGAGGTGGCGGTGGAGATCGGAGAGCCAGGCGGCGAAGTCAACCGCATGGCCCTCGGCGTCCAGTCGGAGCACGAAGTCCGCCATCGTGCAGGGTCAGCGGCACAGCTCCACAGGAACTCAGCTACAGCCCCTCCAGCACAGTGGCCACGAAGCGCCTCAGCACGGGCGAGCGGAGGAGACGGAGCCCGAGGCGGCACAGCAGGACGAGCCGGGGCGAAAGGGCCAGGCAGGTACGGTGGGGCCAGGCAGGCACGGCAGGGCCAGGTAGGCGCGGCGGGCCAGTCAGGGGCGGCGGGGCCAGGAGGCACAGCGGGGCCAGAAGGCGCGGCGGGGCCAGGCAGGTGCGGTGGGGCCAGGTAGGCGCGGCAGGGCCAGGCAGGCGCGGCAGGCCAGCCAGGGGCGGCGGGGCCAGGAGGCGCGGCAGGGCCAGGCAGGCGCGGCGGGGCCAGGCAGGCGCGGCGGGGCCAGAAGGCGCGGCGGGGCCAGGCAGGTGCGGCGGGGCCAGGCAGTGCGGCAGGGCCAGGCAGGCGCGGCGGGGCCAGAAGGCGTGGCGGGGCCAGGCAGGTGCAGCGGGGCCAGGCAGGCGCGGCAGGGCCAGGCAGGCGCGGCGGGGCCAGAAGGCGCGGCGGGGCCAAGCAGGTGCGGCGGGGCCAGGCAGGTGCTGCAGGGGCCCAGGAGGGGCGCGACGGGCTAGGAGGCGCGACAGGGGCCCAGGAGGGGCGTGACGGGCTAGGAGGCGCGAGAGGGGCCCAGGAGGGGCGTGACGGGCTAGGTGGCGCGCCAGGGGCCCAGGAGGGGCGCGACGGGCTAGGAGGCGCGAGTGGGGCCTAGGAGGGGCGCGACGGGCTAGGAGGCGCAATAGGGGCCCAGGAGGGGCGCAACGGGCTAGGAGGCGCGGCAGGGGCCCAGGAGGGGCGCGACGGGCTAGGAGGCGCGACAGGGGCCCAGGAGGGGCGCGACGGGCTAGGAGGCGCGAGTGGGGCCCAGGAGGGGCGCGACGGGCTAGGAGGCTCAATAGAGGCCCAGGAGGGGCGCGACGGGCTAGGAGGTGCGGCAGGGGCCCAGGAGGGGCGCGACGGGCTAGGAGGCGCGACAGGGGCCCAGGAGGGGCGCGACGGGCTAGGAGGCGCGAGTGGGGCCCAGGAGGGGCGCGACGGGCTAGGAGGCGCAATAGGGGCCCAGGAGGGGCGCGACGGGCTAGGAGGCGCGGCAGGGGCCCAGGAGGGGCGCGACGGGCTAGGAGGCGCGATAGGGGCCCAGGAGGGGCGCTACGGGGCCTAGGTGGGGGCGGCGCGACGGGGCCTAGGTGAAAGCGCGACGGGGCCTAGGAGGAACGGGCGGAAGCGGTAGGTGGGGGGGGGGTCGAACCTACGGGTGATACCATATCAAAAAGAAAACTGAATAATTGAATAGAGGGAGAGAACAAGGGTATATACCTAAGAGTGTTGTACCCTCTAAGAGGTGACCCTATACAGTCTATACAAATATGAGTTATACATATATTTGACAGTATCAACAATCAACAAGCTATCTTTCGAAGATTGCAAACCATTGCATATATATTACAACAGAAATATGATTTACTAATTAGATGAGGAGGAAGTCCAAAAATATGGCTCGATTTTGTAGTTATTATTTATAATTCCCAAAATCCGCGTGAAAAAAAATCGGCAAAATCGATCGTAATAGGTTGCTCCGCAACCCAAAAAAAAAAAAAAAAAAAAAACCCAGCCCGATCGATTGCAATAGGTTGCTCCGCAACCCAAAAAAAGGTCCGAAGGGATATAATCGTGGTACAGTACCCCTCAGGCCCAAGTCAGCCCTCGACCGCCCTCAGAACGCAGACTCTTTACTGTCTGCCTTCGCTAATGAAGTAAAATAAGGCAGTGCATTTCAATGTACATTCTTTTTCTGTCGTAAATGCCATGTGCTTTTTTGCAGCAAACTCCACTACTTTGATTGCAGCTGGAGGTCACAGCTGCGACAGTTCTACATCTTCGCCAGATTCGCAGCAGTAATGTGTTCGCGGGCGCAAATTCGCCACCATGTTTTCAAGTTCAAAGCTTTTGACCTCCAACCATTCTGCCCTGCGAAATCGGCAGAGATAAGGCGCCCACCTGTCAAAAACACCGCCATAGCACGGAGTAGTTAGTCAGATGTAGCTAGGCTCGCAGCGCTTCGTTCCTTAGTTTCCACCCAGATCTATGTACTCGCATATCTTAGGCGCCTAACTCTCAACCAATCTTTATAATCACCAGTACACGAGTATGGAAGGGGACGGAGCAGTATGCCTCTTCCGTCGAATCCCGGACGATATTCTTCTCGAAATTCTGAGCAGCATACAAGACATCCGCTGTCTCGCGCACTGCGCGTCGGTCTGCAAGCTATGGCACCGGAAAGCCCGCGAAGTCGAATCCGCGACGCTAATCTGCCCGGGAAATTTTAAGACGTATTGGGATAAGGTGATGGATATAGTGGATAAGCTGCAGGGATTCCCCCGTTTGGAGAAAGTCCGCGTTCGCATCGGGACGAACGGGATGGGCGGGAGCGGTTCGGCGGGGAGACGTGATAATAGCGAGGCCTGGACCAAGTGCATGCGCTACGCGGAGATTGGCGCCTCTGTGGATAAGTTCCTCTTTCTCGCCGCGAAATCCGGTAGCGCGGATGTTTTTTACAGTAGCATTGGTGGGGATGGCGGAGAGATGGCGGAAGGCGCAGAGCGCGCGGGGGAGATGCGGGGAGGGCCGGCGCGGGAGGATATGCGCGGGGAGTATGGAGATGTGCGTTTGGGAAGAGAAGGGGAGGAAGTGGAGGAGGGGGAGGAGGGGGGGGAGTGGGGGACGGAAGGGGAAGGGGACGAGGGGGAGGGGGAGCAGCAGCAGCAGCAGCGCCAGCAGCAGCAGCAGCAGCAGCTGCAGGGAGAGGGGCGATATGGATTCTCTTTTCCCCAGTCTCACAACGCACATGAAGCAGCAGCAGCAGCAGCAGCAGCAGCAGCAGGCACAGGAGCAGCATCAGTGGACCTAACCCTAAAGCAGGTCATGGGCCCCAGCGACGACTCGCTAAAACGCATGTTGCCCGTTATAATCTTTGCCATTATCAGGGGCTTCGACGAGTTCCGCGACGTAATTCCCTGTCTACTGTTGAAGTTACCCCTGCTGCAGCAGCTGCTGCTGGTAGATGTAACCGACAACGTCACCATCCACATGCGCCCGCACCACATGGCGCAGCTTCGGCGCGCGAACCGGAGGACGTTCGGGGGGAGCATAGGCTTGGAAGCCCTAGGCTCGGAAAGCCTAGGTACGGAACACCTAGGTCCGGAGAATCTAGTCTTGGTGGAAGGCAGCAGTTCAGGCATGAGTGGTGGCATGGGTGGTGGCATGGGTGGTGGCATGGGTGGTGGCATGGGCGCAGGCATGGGCACAGGCATGGGTGGTGGGATAAGCACGGAGATAGGCATGGGGGTTGGGGTGGGGGCAGGCACGAGCATGGGTGTGGGCGTGGGGGCGTCAGATGTGTTTGGGGATGAGGAGTTCCGGCCCGAGCTGCTGGGAGATGGCGCCGCTGCTTACACGGCTTCTCTTTCAAACTCCGTGGCTCACACAGGTTCTCTCACCAGCACTGCTGCTGCACCCATTCCTGCAGGAGAACCAACACCTCCAACAGACTTGCCTGGACCCTCCGTTTCTCGTGCAAGCACGCCCGGAGCCGCAGCAGCATTAGCAACTGTGTCTGCCCCGGCTGCTGCCCCTCGCCTTCCTGCCGTCCCTTTCACAGGCCCTTCTGCTGCCCCTTCGGCTGCCCCTTCTGCTGCCCCTTCTGCTGCCCCATCCTCAGCACCCACCCTAGACCAGGCCTCTATCGCAGAACCCCCTGCTCCTACGGAGTTGTCTAGGCGGGATCTGTCGTCCCACCCTGACTCGCCCAATTTCCACGTGTCCTTCTGGCGCACAGACAGAGTCCGGGTGGCGTACCCATCGCCACGTCAGCACCAGGAGCTGACTGACGTGTCAGTCTGCGTGGCCACGCAGGACGCTGTTGCGCTGGACGATGCTGACGTGGTGGAGCTCGCCCATTCAGCTGTCGGGGGCCCGGTGCTGGCTGCCACCGTGGCGTTTCTCAACCGCCAATCAGCCGTGCATGCCCTGTAGCGGCCACTGCAGCATGTCTTGTAGCATGCATGGTAGCATGCACTGTAGTGTGCACCATAGGTGCCCCAGATTGTGCTGTGTAATCTGTGCTTGTGCTGTTCATAATCCCCGCCGCGTCTCGTCCGTGTGTGCAGTGCAGGATGGAGGGTGGAAGGGGGGGTTGGAGGAGGGGCGGGCCACGGGTTGGGGGGGGAAAGGGGCTGCAGGGGTTAGGGAGGGTGGAGGGAGGAAGGGGAAGGGGTGGTGAACTGACGTTTCCTGTTGAAAGTTGGGATTGCTGGTGTATAGATGTTCCACCATATCAGTGTACTTACGTTTTTCTCCTGAAATAAAATCACTAAATGACTTGCAGAGAGCAAAAGCTGGAGATGTAAAAGCTTCCTACGAGCATGGCTTGTCTTAGCATCAATTGTCCACCTTCAAGGCCTGTTGCGCCCTCTTCAATACTACTCGCGAGCTCTTTAAGGCTTGTTGCGAGCTCGCTTCTTGCGCCTGCCTGCCTGCCGTTGATCGGTAACCCTGGTAACCTGGTTATACCGGCGTTGGCCAGCGACCCCGGTTGCACAGTCCCCCTCGTGATTGGTTCTCGTGGTGTGCTGCATCTTGGTGGTTGCTTGCTCCATCATGCCACAGAACTCAGGGAAGTCGATCTTGCCATTCTGAGACCAAGGGGAGTGAGTGGGGTGGGAAATGTTTTGGTGGGTGTGTGTGCGTAGGTGTGTGTGTGGGTGTGCGCGTGTGTGTGGGTTGGTTGGGTGTGTGTGTGTGGGTGTGGGTGTGTGGGTGTGTGTGTGGGGGGGGTGTGGGGGTGTGGGGTTGTAAGGGGGGCGGGGGGAGTGGGTGGGTGGGTGGGTGTTAGTGTGGTGTGCTGCAACTTGGTGGTTGCTTGCTCCATTATGCCACAGAACTCAGAGAAGTCAATCTTGCCATTCTGAGACAGAGGGGAGTGAGTGGGGCGGGAAATGCTTTGGTGAGTGTCTGTGTGGGTGTGGGTGTGGGTGTGGGTGTGTGTGTGGGTGTGTGTGTGGGTGTGTGTGTGTGTGTGTGTGTGTGTGTGTGTGTGTGTGTGTGTGTGTGTGTGTGGGTGTCCTTGTGGTGTGCTGCATCGTGGTGGTTGCATGCTCCATCATGCCACAGAACTGAGAGAAGTCAATCTTGCCATTTTGAGACCAAGGGGAATACGGCGGTGAGATTCTGGAGGGCGGGTGGGCGTGCGTGTTTGTGTGTGTGGGATATTGTGAGTGAGAGGGGGGGGTAGGGGAAGACGAGGATAAACATCCGCAATTATCTTCTTTCTCCGAATTAGCCTCAAGTCTCACCTTATCAGAATCAACATCCGCAAATATCTTCTTTATCTCCGCCTCACCAACCCCGGCACTTCCAGCCTCACTTTCCAGCGCACTGCGCAGCTCATCCCCTGTAACGAATCTGCCAACAATGGGGACAGGGGAGTGCGATAGCTTCTGTGGACATTAAGAAGAAGCATTAGAGAAGTGAACGTACTTGCTAACAGCATGCCAACACCGCTATTTGCTCATCCACGCATGAGGAGTCTATTTTTGAGGCGCCTCAAAAATAGAACAGCATGCCAACACTGCTATTTGCTCATCCACTGGGACACCAAGGTGCTGGTCGCTCCATTCAGATTTGTCCACTGTGCGTTCACTCAACCAAGTTCCCCTGGATCTGGGTGTACTCGGGCAACTTACCCGTTGCCATCGGTGTCGAAGTGCCTTTGAGACGATTCAAAAGCAACTTACCCGTTGCCGTCAGTGTCAAAGTGTGCGAAAGCCTGCTGCAGGTGAGCCAACCGTGTCTCCCTGCTGACTCGCATGTTGGCTGCCACAAACTCGTTATAGTCAATGCTGCCACTGCTGTCCAGATCCGCCTGTTACAAGCACATGCGGAGGGGATCGCAGTCAGACTTCTACAAGCACATGCAAGTACAGCACGAGAAATGGGGCTGTAAGAGGTTTCAAATTAACTAAACACGTAAAACAAACGCTATTAAAACGAACAATGGGAAAAGGGACAGACGGGCCCACCGCTGCCATCATTTGCCGAAGCTGCTCCTTAGGCACGGCAGATCCGAGCCTCTCAAGCCCATCCCGGAGCTCAGCCAATGAGATCGTCCCACTGCCATCCCCATCCATGGCTTTAAACATCTCTCTTAGCCCCATCGCCTCCGCATCAGAGACATGCGAGGCCATGAGTTTAAGCGCCAGGCGCTTCATTCTGTTCATGGCTGAGAAGTGCTTCAATCTCGTGAGCACAGCTGGTGCCAAGGGAACGTCTGCTGCCACTCCTCCCTCCCGCACCCACGGATGGTCTGACAGGAAGGAAGGCAGGGGATGGAAGGAAGGCGGATATGGAAGGAAGGCAGGGGATGGAAGGAAGGCGGATATGGAAGGAAGGAAGGGGATGGAAGGAAGGCGGATATGGAAGGAAGGCAGGGGATGGAAGGAAGGCGGATATGGAAGGAAGGAAGGGGATGGAAGGAAGGCGGATATGGAAGGAAGGAAGGGGATGGAAGGAAGGCGGATATGGAAGGAAGGAAGGGGATGGAAGGAAGGCGGATATGGAAGGAAGGAAGGATGGCCTGTGCTCAGTTTGACGGGAAGGAAGGCGGGGATGGAAGGCAGGCAGGGCACTCCTGTTTGGATTTTTTAGGCGCCTCAAAAAGGCAGGGCACTCCTGTTTGGATTTTTTAGGCGCCTCAAAAAGGCAGGGCACTCCTGTTTGGATTTTTGAGGCGCCTCAAAAAGGCAGGGCACTCCTGTTTGGATTTTTGAGGCGCCTCAAAAAGGCAGGGCACTCCTGTTTGGATTTTTGAGGCGCCTCAAAAAGGCAGGGCACTCCTGTTTGGATTTTTTAGGCGCCTCAAAAAGGCAGGGCACTCCTGTTTGGATTTTTTAGGCGCCTCAAAAAGGCACTACACTCCTGTTTGGATTTTTGAGGCGCCTCAAAAAGGCAGGGCACTCCTGTTTGGATTTTTGAGGCGCCTCAAAAAGGCAGGGCACTCCTGTTTGGATTTTTGAGGCGCCTCAAAAAGGCAGGGCACTCCTGTTTGGATTTTTGAGGCGCCTCAAAAAGGCAGGGCACTCCTGTTTGGTGCTCACACATACCCATGACTTGCATGCACTCTCTCACACATACCCATGACTTGCATACACTCTCTCACACATACCCATGACTTGCATACACTCTCTCACACATACCCATGACTTGCATACACTCTCTCACACATACCCATGACTTGCATACACTCTCTCACACATACCCATGACTTGCATACACTCTCTCACACATACCCATGACTTGCATACACTCTCTCACACATACCCATGACTTGCATACACTCTCTCACACATACCCATGACTTGCATACACTCTCTCACACATACCCATGACTTGCATACACTCTCTCACACATACCCATGACTTGCATACACTCTCTCACACATACCCATGACTTGCATACACTCTCTCACACATACCCATGACTTGCATACACTCTCTCACACATACCCATGACTTGCATACACTCTCTCACACATACCCATGACTTGCATACACTCTCTCACACATACCCATGACTTGCATACACTCTCTCACACATACCCATGACTTGCGCTGCTGTGGGTCGTCTGCCTGCCTCCTGCTGCAGCAGACTCTGCACCAGCTGCTTCGCCTCAGGTGACACCTGCGGCCAGGGCTCCTCTGATTGGTCCACGTGCCCCCACAGAATCTCCTCAAATATCCCCTCATCTGTCTCTGTAGGGTGGAAAAGGTGGGGGGGGGAGGGAGGGGAGGGGAGGGGAGGAAGAGGGGGGGAGAAGGGTGGATGGGGAAAGAGGGGAAGGAGTGAGTGCTGGGAGGGAGAATAAGAGATAGGGTTGAAGATTAAGAGGGAGGTTGAAAACAAAGGGACAATGGGCAGTGGTGAGTGGTGGTGAACGGCAGCAGAGAGGGGAAGCCAGATGAGTGGCAGGCAGAATGCCTTATCGTTTTCCCCTTCCTCCTAAATTCCCTTCATTATCCAAGTTCCCCCACCTCCCCCCCTCACAAGCTCTCACCCGCGGCCCGCCCCAAAGGTCATCCGGAGGGCAGGATGTAGAGCATGATCCCCACACTTCACATGTCCAGTTTTGAGGCGCTTCAAAACTAGTCATCCGGAGGGCAGGATGTAGAGCATGATCCCCACACTCCACATGTCCGCCTCAGGGCCGTCGCTGGGTGATCCCAGGATGAGGAGGCAGAACGCTCAATGCACTCCGCATGCTCACTATTGCGTGTAGCGGATGACGTTATAACGAGAATACACACTCACCCGCCCAGCAGGGTGGCACGCCGCTCGCCCAAGAGCAGGATGCAGAGCGTGGCCCCCAAACTCCACGCGTCAGCCTCAGGGTCATTGCTAAGCAACCCCAGGACCATGTAGAATGCACCATGCACTGCCCTCTACTGCGTGTAGTGGATGACTTCATAGTGAGGATAGAGACATACCCGCCCAGAAGGGTGGCACGCCCGAGAGCAGGATGTAGAGCATTTCATGCTCCACAAGTCCGACTCCGGGCCATAGCTGGCAGGCTTCGATCCCAACTGGAATGCTTATAAGGGGTACAGCCACTCACCTACCCAGACGGGTGGCACTCCCGAGAGCAGGATGTAGAGCATGACCCCCACACTCCACATGTCGGCCTCACGGCCGAAGCTGAGCGATCCCAGGGTCATGTAGAACGCAGAATGCACTCCACATGCTCACTACTGCGTGTAGCGGATGACCTTATAGCGAGATTAGACACTCACCCGCCCAGAAGGGTGGCACGCCCGAGAGCAGGATGTAGAGCATCACCCCCACGCTCCACATGTCCGCCTCGGGGCCGTAGCTGCCTCGAATCACCTCGGGTGCCATGTAGAACGCGCTGCCCGCTACTGTGTGCAGCGGATGGCCTTGTAACGGGGATGGACGGAGGGTGTGGGAGCAGTGCAGGGACCAGGTGCAAGAGGAAAGGGGGGAAAGAAGGGGGAGTTGCGGGAGGGGGGGGGGGGGGGCGAGAGGGAGTGAGGGGCGAGAGGGAGTGAGGGGCGAGAGGGAGTGAGGGGCGAGAGGGAGTGAGGGGTGAGAGGGAGTGAGGGGCGAGAGGGAGTGAGGGGCGAGAGGGAGTGAGGGGTGAGAGGGAGTGAGGGCGAGGGAGTGAGGGGTGAAATTGAAGCTCGGAAGGTGGGTGGACGAAATAGCAATGGAGACAGATTCTGCTTTTGAGTCGACTCAAACGCAGACAGCAAGGGAGGTATATTTACCCGGACGATAGAAGACAGAGAGACCAAAGTCAACAGCTTTAAGAGGCGCTCCCTCCTCGTCGCTCGCTACAAGAAAGTTCTCGGGCTTTAAGTCCCTGTGAACCACGTAGTTGGCATGGCAGTACCCCACCACCGATACAATCACACGCAGGACGTTCGCTGCTGCGCGCTCGCTATAGTGTCCCCTCGATATTATCTGATCGAATAACTCGCCTCCTGTACAGAGCTCCATGACTATATACACCGCGGAATTGTCTTCATAAGAACCTTTCAGATTAATCACATTCGGATGATCCGACAAGAGGTAAAGAATTGCGATTTCTCTCTTGATATCCTCCACGTCGTCACTCGTTATGAGCTGCTTCTTCGATATAAGCTTACACGCGTACTGTAGACCTGTACGCTTCTCCGTGCATACGTATGTCACGCCGAACTGACCCCTTCCTAGCTCTCGTCCAAAGACGAACAAGTCATGAACGTTTTCCGTCTGCCGGCCAAGTATGGAGTCCGACAACTTTTCCGTCAGCTTGCCGCCGGTATCCCTGACGGTCGCCGGATCCTTGCTAGCACGAACAGGCGAAACAAGAGTGGTTTTGACAACATCGTGTGTCGTTACCGGTTTCGCTAAGGACGTCGACCGTTTCGCGAGGTTCACATTAACGGACCCAGGAACGCAAGTATCGCGAGGGCATTGTAACGAGTGTGGTAGTGGCGAGCGGGACTGCCTGCGCCCCGCTAGGGGAACCACAACCTGCAAAGCGCGAAGGGACGCCAGCATCGGAATAAGTTATCTAGATAAGAAACGGAATGTGGCATTTCAGGAGAAAGCCTGACGAGCCTGACGAGCCTGACTGACTATTCCCAGCAGGAGAGAAGATGAGCGTTTCGACCCTGACTGAGATACTGTACTGTACGGAACAGGCATTCAGCAATCACGGCCCGCATTCATTGGGATTCCCCGGCTCCGTTAGTCCGACCAGCCCAACGGCTATAATTTACGGATGCAAGTGGCGGATGTTGTAAAGATGTGGGACATTCGATTAGAGCGAGGATCTCAAGAAGCACGAAACCAAATCCAAAAGGTTTGGTTTCAGGTTGGCGAAATGAGCAAAACAGTACCAGCGGCTTCTTAGCTCCCTTCATTCACCACACCTCGCAATTTTTGCGACCCCCCCAAACCGAAACCTTCGGGTTTGGTTTTTTGCTCCTTGAGATCCTCGCTTTAGGGCGTGTGGCAAGTAGAAGTCGAAACGATGGGACCAGAATGGAGGTCTGGTACAACGCGGTACAGTGTGATTTGTTTTGTTACAAACAATTGTTGAGAGGTGTTATGAATGAACAAGCAGAGTAGCGCGGAAATGAATAACGAAGTGTTGAATCACTGAATGACGATACAATACAAGGAATGTCCAGCCAATATATAGGAACACCAGAGCTAGTCTAACCATGAGGCGTGAAGGTTCGGGAAAGATATCGAAGGGTCTCGAAATGACGGAGTGAGGCCCGAAGAACTCCCGAAGGTCGAACTAGAAGGTCTAGAGGAGCCAATGCGGTTCTATCAGAAAGGTCCGGAACCGTCCCGAGGCTTCGGGTGTGTTCGAGCGTACGCGATAGCAGTACCACTTGATAAGGAATAGAAAAATCCTTACACCACCCCCCTCCTTAGCGAAGGTGATCTATATCAGTCGCGTGCTTGCGGGCCAAATAATTCGCAAGTATCGAAGGTGACTATATCTGGTCCGAGGGCACCCACATGTCGTCCTCACTGGTACGATTGGTCCATCGTATCACAAAATCAACGTGTCGTCCTTGGCCGTCGATACGGATCCGATGACTCAAAATCTTCGAAGGCTCGATGGTCGTCTCTGCTGGTGGCCGTACATCCGGGACCAATCGCTGTCGAGCGATGTCCGATGTGTCAGGTACGAATGGTCGCAATAGGCTCACGTGGAACTTGTTGTAAATACACCAATCGTCAGGTAGGCGCAACTGGGCGGTCACCGGCATCACCATCTTCATGCTCTTGAATGGGCCACAGAAATGTGGTCGTAATTTCGTCAGTAGTGGGCAGGCGTAAGTTCTTGGTGTCCAAAAGGACTAGTTGTCTTGCTGCCATTGTAATACCCCGTCGATGTAAATCCGCTACCCGTCGGGCAGTAGCGTTCGCCTTGCGAATAAGTTCGACAGCTTTGTCTCGGGCAGTCTGTAATTCTTCGACGAACTGCTGCGACCGTGGTACTTGACTCTCAACGTTGGTAGAGATAGGTACTGTCGGGTCCATCCCGTAATTGAGGTAAAACAGGGAGTGATTAGTCGTAGCTGAGGGCGCATTGTTGTAGGAGAATTCCAAAATGGAAGTGTGTCCTCCCATTTGTTGCGGTGGGGGCGGTTTGTCCGAATCAGATGTTCCATCGTTTGGTTTGTCCTCTCTGTCTGACCGTCCGTTTGAGGATGATAAGCGGATGAGAATCGCAGGCGCGTGCCGTACCGAGCCCATGTGTCCTGCCAAAATTCGACGTGAACTTCAGGTCTCGATCGCTAATGATTGCAGCTGGTATCTCGTGTAGGCGAACAACGGTCGAGATGACCAGCCGCGCGGTTTCCTCAGCTGTGATGGTTGTACGACATGGTGCGAAATGCGTCATTTTCGTCAATCGGTCGACGACAACCAATACTGCGCTGTTTCCGCTAGATTCGGCTGGCAGACCTGTGACGAAATCCATCGTCACGTTTTGCCATGGGTGTTGAGGTGGCTCGAAAGGCTGCAACAGTCCTGTCGGTCTCTGATGTGATGATTTCATTCGCTGGCAGATTGGACACGCGACCACATAACGCTGCATGTCCGTCACCATATCTGGCTAGTAATAAAACCGCTGCAATGCCTTCAGAGTTTTATCAACCTCGATATGTCCCGATAAATTCCTACGTCAGCAATATTGTTGGCGCCCTTTTTGTACGTGATCTTGTACGTGAAGTTGGACTCCAGATAGTCCAGCCAACGTATCTGCCGCGAATTGTGATCCGGCTGCGCCCTCACGTACTGTAGAGATTTATGGTCGGTTCGCACTGTCACGTCTGCTCCAGTCAGGTAGCACCTCCAGATTTTGAACGTGTGGACAATCGCCAGCATCTCCTTGTCGTGTACCGGGTAGTTGCGCTCAACAGATTGCATTTTTCGAGACTCGTACGCGATTGGTTGAAGACCATTGCCAAAATCTTGCATGAGCACTGCTCCAATGGCGATGTCACTTGCGTCGATTATAACTTCGAAGGGCCGTTCCGGGTCAGCGATGCGAAGTACGGGTGGCGACATTAAAAGAGTTTTTTAATGCCTCAAACGCAGCTGCTGCTTCTCCCCCCACTCGTAAGAAGTCCTCTTCTCGCGGGTCGGGTCTAGGGTGGTGTGAAATACCGTGCTGTCGCCAGAACACAGATAGCTAGTGCATGCAAGAGGGGAAGCCCCTCAAGGGAGAAGCCTGAGGGCAGCGATTGGGAAGGGAAGGGAAAAGTAATGTGCAAACACCAACTTTGAAATCAGAGTTAAAAATAATGGAAACTCTGATTATCTGACAAAACATCTCTTGTTGCTCTGATTTTCCAGACTTTTTTTAAGGGGCGACTCTGAAGGCCATAATACGCGCATAAGTTGGCAGGCAAGTCTGATGAATCAGACAAGCCCAAAACCAATTTTGGGCCTTGTCTCGAGGCTTCAGACTTTCGGGTATGTTCGAGCGTACGCGATAGCAGTATCGCTCGGTAAGGAATAGAAAATTTCTTACAAGAGGTATAGAGGTAACCGACCGGATGATGGGAGCGGAGAATCACAGCGATTGTACTTGCCATAGGCCCTTATTGTCAACTGAAACATACATTTGCATGTAGAAGTTATAGGCTAGAATAAGTGTGTGTTCTTAGAGAGTACAACCCAAACCCTATATTTCCCTTGTTCTCCTTTCTTGCTAATCTATTCGAGTATTCTAACATGGTATCATGAGTAGGTTAGGTCCACCCACCCACTTCCGCCCCGCGCCCTAGCCTACCGCGCCTCGCCAGCCCCTCGCGCGTCCGCCGGACCCTCTCTCGCCTAGTCGGCCCCTCGTGCGCCTAGCCGGGCCCTCGTTCCTAGCCGGCTCTTTGCGCCGTAGCCGGCCCCTCGTGCCTAGCCGGCCCCCTTTCGCGCCGTAGCTGGCGCCTCATGCCGTAGCCGGCCCCTCCCGTGCCTAGTGGGCCCCTCGCGCCCACCTGGCCCTTCGCGCGCCTAGTCGGCCCCTCGCGCCCAGCCGGCCCCTCACGCTGTAGCCAGCCTCTCTCGCGCCCAGCCGGTCCCTCCCTCGCCTAGTCGGCCCATCGCGCCCAGCCGGCCCTTCGCGCCCAGCCGCCCCCCCCCCCCCCCCCCCCCTCACAGGTCAGCACCAGGATGGGCACTCCCTGGCTATGCATGTTGATGGCTTGATCCCCTGCCCCCTGCGCCTGCTCCCCTCCCTGCTGACCCCACCACTTATGAGAATGGGGCCTTTGCTGCTGCTGCTGCTGCGCTCGCTCGCACTGTCTGGGATTCTCGCGATGCCGTAGCGCAGCTTGCCATTAGTTATGCGCTTCCCCTATCTGAGCGTCCCCGCTTCACTGCTGTAGCAAATGCCAAAGATTTCCTAGATGCAGTAGTTGCACGCTACTCCACGCCTACCTCCGCCTCAGCTGGCCGCTTGATCCTCCCCATGCTCTTCCCCGATCTCTCTGCTTTCCCCACTGTCGCTGATCTCGCCACTCACCTACGTGCCCTCGAGACTAGCTACTGCGCTGCTAGCACTGCCGCCCAGCTCACTGCTTTCCCCCCGCCGTTCTGTGCTACCCTGTACCTTATTGCCATGCGCCTGCCTGACCGCTTAGCCACTGCCCGTTCTCAAAACTAGAATTTTAAATGATTATAGTGTTAGAGAGTACATGCACATATACCTAAATGTTGTACCCTCTAGGAGGTTACCCTATACAGTCTATACAAACATGATCAATAATACATGTTTGACACACCCCTTGGACTGCATAGGGGAATGTCCTAGACAAGCAGCTCAGGGCGGCACTACTAGTCCAGCCTCTGAGACAAGGGTCTAAAAGACCAGTCAGAAGGAGTACAGACAAGACAAGAACAAGTACAGGGCGGCACTACTAGTCCAACCACTGTGAGAGGACACAAGTCCAGTCTGAGTGTACACATATATATAGGACAGTACAAAGTCAAGGCCCGAGTAAGTGAGGGACTACAGGAACCAGACCAAGCTGTACACAGTGCCGCTGATGATCTTTAGGCGCAAGCGCCTTCGTAAAGATATCAGCTGTGTTGGCACCGGAGGCCAAGTGTACTACGCGAGCCTGGCGACGCTGCTGTAGCTCGCGCAGGAGGAAGTACCGCAGCTGGATGTGCTTCGCTCTACCCTCGAGTCGAGGCTCCTGACACAGGAGGATCATGGCCCTGTTGTCAGCGTACAAGACCGGGGCAGAGCTAGGCCGCTCACCTAAGTCAGTGAGCAAGAAGGTCAGCCAGCGGAGCTCCTGTGCCGCCATGGCACCGGCGTAGATCTCAGCCTCACAGCTGGACTGGGCAACAGACGAGGAGCGGGTAGCTCTCCACGAGACAGCACCTGAGCCAAGGCTAAAGCAGTAGCCCTGGGAAGACCTGAGCGTCTCGGCGTCGTCTGCCCAAGAAGCGTCTGTGTGTCCAGTAAGGACCACTGGCCTGCGTCCGCCTAGCACTAACCCCATGCCCGATGTACTTGCAAGATAACGCAAAACCCTCTTAGCGGCAGACCAGTGCTGAGGTCGGTGTCTGCCTGTGGCCACGAAACGAGCCAGGATGCTGAGAGGGTATGCGAGATCTGGGCGAGTGCAAGTCATCAGGTACATGAGGCAACCCACTAGCTCAGCGTAAGGACCACTGGGATCTACCGACTCCTCAGGAACTGGAGCGGAGAGTCTGTGGTCCAGAGGAAGAGGGGTGGGCTGTGCGGAGGAGAACTGAAGGCCGAACCTCTGAAGGACCTGGCGCACCAAGTGTGACTGAGTCAGGGTGATGGTGCGCGCGGCTCTGTCCCTGGAGATCTGCAAGCCAAGGTAACGGCGCAGCTCTCCAAGGTCAGTGCAGGTGTGTCTCTTCAGCAGCTCTGCCTTCACGGAGGCCAGTGCGTCCCTGTCAGCTGTGGCAAAGACCAGGTCGTCTACGTAGACAAGGATGTAGAACGGAGTCGGGCCAGCACGAACGAAGAGCGAGGGGTCTGCAGAGGACGGAAAGAACTGCAGGTCAGCAAGGGTAGCACGCAGCGTGTCGTGCCACTCACGAGGCGCCTGGCGCAGGCCGTAGACTGGGCGCCGCAGAAGCCACTGGGTCCCAGGGGGGAAAGTGCCAGTAAAGCCCTGAGGACGACGCAGGTAGACCTGCTCGTGAAGGCTGCCCTGAAGGAAGGCAGTGGAGAAGTCGAGGGAGTGAAGCTCGTAGTCACGCTGAGCCGCTACGTGTAACAGAACCCGAAGAGTAGTCATCTTCGGTGTAGGAGCGAAAGTCTGAAAGAAGTCCACCCCCTCGCGCTGACTGAAGCCTCTAGCCACGTAGCGCGCCTTGAACACAGGCGGCTCTCCAGGAGGGCGCTTCACCTTGAAGAGCCAACGGCCATCGACCACGTTCACCCCAGGTGGGGGAACTGCGTCGACGAAGGTGCCGGTGGATCTCCAAGATGCCATCTCCTGTTCCATGGCAGCTATCCACTGAGAGGCCCAGGGTCCCGAAACCGCCTCAGCGTAAGTACGAGGGGTCGGGATGTCGAAAGCGTCTGGGTCACCCTCAGGGACTAGCAGCATGGAACAGAGATGGGGAGCAGCCTCGGACAGGAAAGCAAGCTCAAACTGGCGGTCCTCCAGGACGTCACTGCCGAGGGCAGGAGCACCCCCGACAGACGGAGGACAGGCAGGGTCAGAGACCAGAGCGGTAGCGTAGTCAAGGCGGCGGGTAGAGGCGAAGTCAGTGACCGCAGCGACAAGGGCGTCCAGACTCGACACTGGAACAGACGGGTCGGTAACGAGAGAGGCAAGGACCCGAGGAACAAGAGGACGAGCGGCACGAAAGTAGTCAGACAGAGGAGGAGACGCAACGACAAGAGAGGACGGAGGAGGGGAGGACGAGACGCGTGGGACCGGAGCAACATAGGGTGAGAGCGCGGGACGTGGGAGACAGGACGAGCACGGGAGGGGCGGCGAGACCAGACGTGAGAGGGAGGCGTCGGGTCAGGAGACAGAGGAGGGGACACTGGTGGGGAACGAGGGGGAAAACGAGCCGGGGACGAGTCCGGCGGAGGGAACACGGGGCCGTAGACGGGAAGAGGAGGAGACGGCAGGTGAGGAACAGGCGCAGGGTCAGGGGACGGAAGGCCGAGCAGACGGAGGGCGGACACCGGCGGGGACTGCTGCTGCGGCGACACAACACCAACGCCAGGGCCACAAGCTGCGCGACGGCTACCTCCCGAACCCTCCACACCGGCACCCCCAGAAGGGACACCCCCAGAGCCCGAAACCCCGCCAGCACCGGTACCACCCCCAGGCCCGCCGGGACAAGCCACGACAGGAGCCCCGGGACTAGACCCACCTCAACGCCAGCACCCCCAGAGTCCACAAACAGCGGCAGCGACGACGGCGGCGGCGGCGGCGGCGGCTGCAGCGACGGCCGCGACGGCGGCGGCGGCGGAGAGACGGCTGCAACGGCGGCGGCGGTGGAGACGACGGCTGCAGCAGCTGCGGCGACGGCTGCGGAGGCGGTGGAGGAGGAGACACCGGGGGAGGGACAGACGGCGAGGACTGCGCCGGAGGACTACCAGAGTCAGAAGACTCGTCGACCGGGACGACCGACGGGAGGGGGGTGACGTGAGACACACCAGAGGGGGCCGGACGGGGGGCGGGGGGGGGGAGGGGCAGGGACCACCGGGGAAGGAGGGACCAGGAACAGGGGGGAGTAACCGGGGGACCACGGTGGGGGAAGCGGCGGTAGAAGGAGACGGACTCGTCAAAGGTGACGTCGCGAGAGTGAAAGAAGCGGTGAGACGGCGGGTGGTAGAAGTGCCAGTCGGACGCGTCAAGGGGGAAACCGAGGAAGACGCAGGGGAGGGTGCGGGCAGTGAGCTTGTCCGTGCCAGAGGCACGAACGTGAGCAAGGCAGCCCCAGACGTGGAACGCAGACGCGTCACCAGGGGACCCGGTCCACAGAAGGGTCGGCGAAACCGGCGGCCGCTGGGGGTGCGGCCACAGGTTAAGCTGGTGAGCGGCGTAGCGCACGGCGAACGGCCACAGAAAATGGGGTGCACCGGCGTGGATCATGGAGGTGCGAGCCACCTCCATGACCAAACCGATGCGTCGCTCAGCGACCCCATTCTGCTGCGGGGAGTCCGGCAGGGTAAACGTCTGGGTGATGCCCTCCGCACGACAGAAGCGACCAAGGACACCTGAGGCAAACTCGCCACCCCGGTCGGAGTGGAGGCGCAAGGCAGGGAGACCGCGGTGGACACGAGCAGAGACAAGCCAGGGGATGAGAACGTCAGGCACGTCGGCCTTCCGCTCCAGGGGAAAGACGGTGTAGCGCGTGAAGTCGTCGACAAGCACTAGGAAGAAGCGCTCGCGACGCGGCCCATGGACCGGGGCGGGGCCCCAGACGTCCATGTGCAGAGTCTGCAGTGGTGCGGTGGTAGGGGGAAACGAGGAGGAGTGAGGGGCACGGCGGAGCCGGCCCTCGACACAAGGCGTGCACGGGGGGCGGGGGAGGAGGGAAACTCGGGGAACGAACCGGGGAGACCAAGGACGAGACCGTGCTGGGACATGTGACGCAGACGCGGGAGTGCAGGGTGACCAAGGCGGTGGTGCCAAAGGAGAGTCGGGTGAGTGAGGGACCGACAGGAGCACGCAGCAGCAACCTGGGTGGACGCAGCGACCTGGGGGGAAGACCCAGCCGGAGAAGTCGCGGTGTCAAGTGTGAACAGGCCGGACACCGGGTCCCGGGGGAAAGTGGTAAGGGGGCACCAGTGGCGGCCTCGGTACAGACAGCATACCGCTCGTGACCAGGGAACGTAGTGGTGACGCCAAGGTCCTGGAGGCAGCCGACACCAACTAGGTTCCTGGAGAACGAGGGGATATGCAGACCTGTGAGCGAACCTGAAGGAACCGCCGGACAGGGAAGGGAGGTGGAACTGCGGGCAACGACGGGACCACCGGAGGGGTCAGCAAGAGTAACTGCAGCGGGAACAGGCAGCGGCGTCAGCGTCGTGGAGTCGCGGAAGAAACACCGGGAGGCGCCAGAGTCCAAGGTGAAGGAAAGCGCAGCAGTCGCGCGAGGCGGCAGTGAAGCGGTGGAAGCACCGAGGCTAAGCAAAGCAGGAGATCCTACGCCTGACGCAGCAGGGGAGTCTACGCTAGGCACATCTACACTAGGCAACACAGGGTAATAAGAGGGAAGCACACTAGAGTCATCAGCATACATCACATGCAAGGCTGCTACAATGGCATCCATGTCCAAGTCAAAAATCTGAATGCTACGCCTAAGCAAGCTGTGCCAGTCCGGGAGGTCGGGCGCCGGGCCAAAGCGCTGACGGAACAGGTCGTCCAGACGACGAAAACAGCGAGGAGTGGAATGCCGATCTTACCGCAAACGAAGCCGCGGCGAGGACCGGTCTGGATCTGGTACTGACAGCGCCCGCCTCCAGAACCACCACCCGGCGCACCACCACGCGCACGACCACCACCAGCTCCAGGCCACCCAGGCGGGAGAGCACTCGCCTGCCTCGTCTGCGGCGGCTGCTGCGGCTGCTGCGGAGGCTGCGGCTGCGGCGACTGCTGCGCTGCTGCTGCTGCGACTGTGGAGGCAGCGGGGCAGCTGGACTGGGCAGGGTCCCCACGTCCGCACCGGCACCGGACGACCCGACTCCACCACCACCCCCACCCGCACCCCCGCCGCCTCCGCCGCTCCCAACCTTGGGGCGGCGGCCCTTCCCCGAGCGGGACTGCACTGCAGCAGCAGTCTCAGCCACAGCGACAGAGCCGTCGGAGAAGGTACACTGAGCGGGGGCACAACCCTGAAAGATAGGGACCGGTACTGTACCGCTCGCCTGGGCGATGGAGCGGTGACGAGTCTCTATAACAGTCAGGGTGTCAACAAAGTCGGTGAGGGTGAGCGCAGCGGGGTGGATGCTAAGGAACTGGTCGCGGGCGGCGGCAAGGCGGTCAGGGAGGCGGGTGGCAAGGAGGTAGAGGGTAGAGGTCATGGGAGGCTGTGGACTCTAAGCTGTGCATCAGTGCAGGCAGCGCGCCAGGTCTCATCTATCGAGCGCAGGTGGGCAGCAAGGTCAGAGACAGTGGGGAAAGACGCAAGGTCAGGAAAGAGCAGGGGGAGGATCAGGCGACCCACTGAGGCAGCAGGAGGGGTAGAATAGCGCTTGATGACAGCATCGAGGTAGGCCTGGGCGGTAGTAATGGTTCGAAAGCGAGGGCGCTCAGGGGGGGGAGGGCATTGCTAATGGCGAGCTGAGCAAGGGCATCGGGAAAGCCAGACAGAGCGGGCAAGGGCAGCGGCGGCAGTGGACTCGCGCTCAGCGGGCGTGGGATCAGCGGGCAGCACAGCAGGGGGGTCAGGGCAGGGGAGCATACCGTCTAGGTGGGCAGAAAGCGGGTGGCCGTCCTGCCGCTGACCAGTGAGGTGGCGGCGAAGGTCAGCCAACCACGCCTCGAACTCCAGAGGCTGACCCTCAGCATCAAAACGAAGCTCAGCAGCCATAGGGGCAGTGTAGGACGGTGGAGTGCGGTGTAGTGCTGCGCAGTGCAGTGCAGGGCGGTGCAGTGCGGTGCAGTGCGATGCAGTGCGGTGCAATGCGGTCCAGTGCGGTGCAGTGCGGTGCGGTGCGATGCAGTGCGGTGCAGTGCGGTGCAGTGCGGTGCAGTGCGTGCATGCGGTGCAGTGCGGTCCAGTGCGGTGCAGTGCGGTGCAGTGCGGTCCAGTGAGGTGCAATGCGGTGCAGGCGGGGCAGGGAAGTGCAGGAGGGTGCAAAGCGGTGCGGGGAACGAGGGACAGTACCAGGAAGTATGTAGGGCCGGGGCAGGCTCGAGGGCCGGGCAGGCGCGACGGGGCCGGGCAGGCGCGACGGGGCCGGGCAGGCGCGACGAGGGGCCGGGCGGCTGCGACGGGCCGGGCGGCTGCGACGGGGCCGGGCGGCTGCGACGGGGCCGGGCGGCTGCGACGGGGCCGGGCGGCTGCGACGGGCCGGGCGGCTGCGACGGGCCGGGCGGCTGCGACGGGGCCAGGCGGCAGTGACGAGGCCGGGCGGCTGCGACGGGCCGGGCAGGACACAGCAGGGCCGGGCGAGGGCGACGGGTCCGGGCGGGCGTGACGGGGCCGGTCGGGTGCAACAGGGGCCGGGCGGCGCCACGGGGCCGAGCGGCTGGGACGGGGCCGAGCTGGGGCGACGGGGCCGAGCAGGTGTGACGGGGCCCAGGAGGGGCGCGACGGGGCCCAGGGAGGGGCGCGACGGGGGCCCGGAGGGGCGCTACCAAGCCCAGGAGGGGCGCTACGAACCCTGGAAGGGGCGCGACGGGGCCTGGAGGGGCGCTACGAAGCCCTGGAAGGGGCGCGACGGGGCCTGGAGGGGCGCTACGAAGCCCTGGAAGGGGCGCGACGGGGCCTGGAGGGGCGCTACGAAGCCCTGGAAGGGGCGCGACGGGGCCTGGAGGGGCGCTACGAAGCCCTGGAAGGGGCGCGACGGGGCCTGGAGGGGCGCTACGAAGCCCTGGAAGGGGCGCGACGGGGCCTGGAGGGGCGCTACGAAGCCCTGGAAGGGGCGCGACGGGGCCTGGAGGGGCGCTACGAAGCCCTGGAAGGGGCGCGACGGGGCCTGGAGGGGCGCTACGGCCTGGAAGGCGCGACGGGCCTGAGAGGAGCGCAACGGGGCTAGGGGGGGAGTCGCGACTGGGCTCAGGAGGGGCGAGGCTAGGCTAGGAGACGCGACGGGAGGAGCGGAAGCGGTAGGGGGGGGGGGGGGTCGAAACCTACGCGTGATACCATCTCAAAACTAGAATTTTAAATGATTATAGAGTTAGAGAGTACATGCACATATACCTAAATGTTGTACCCTCTAGGAGGTTACCCTATACAGTCTATACAAACATGATCAATAATACATGTTTGACACCCGTGACCACTTCCTTAGCCAGCACCCAAGCAACCTCATTGCATCCTCCGATGTATAGACCATGACGTGTACATGGGCATTCTACGAACCAATTAGCGGATTGCCAGAAATTAGTGTAATACTTAGATGTCTTCAACCTCAGCCGAATTCACTAATTAGAAGCATTTCACCAAACCCTTCAGCCTTACAACCACATGATACTCGACAACGGTACCTCACACAAACACAAAGCCACAACAAAATGCCTACCACGCCACACTTATTATGCTATAAATACCTTATTAAATACACCCACACACACACACAATTGCCTAAAGCACCATACTCAACCACGGGGAGCACAGGGGAGCTCTAAAGAGACCTGGAAGTAACACTTATTGGGCTGCCGCAAGTAATGCACGTCGCCATGCATCTGCCTGAGCAACGACCGGTACGCGACGAGCGCATGCGCCTGATATGACGCCTCAGGTGAATCCTCAGGGCACGATGCGAGCCCAAACATGTGCTGGACTATGGCGTCGGCTATCCCCGGACCTGATTGGATGATTCTGGGGAAAAAAAGGATGGGAGGCGGGAGGGGTAAGAAGGGAGAGAGGGTTAGGTTGAGAAGGACTGATTGAGAGGTGCTCCAGGTGAATCTGCAGGGCAGGATTTTCCAGGTGAATCTCCTTGGCCTCATGCGAGCACAACATGTGCTGGATTATGGCACCCGCTATCCCAGGCACTGATTGTACAATGCTTGAGAAGGTACACTAGGGGATAATGGGATGGGAGGGATAAGGAGAATCCAGAGCAAAGGAATGGAGGATCACACTGAAGGAAGAACCCTAGGGAGATCACTCTGAAGGTGGAAACGAAATGGCAGCTCCATGCCTCAGTGCGAGGGGAAGTGGTGGGAATGATGGGAGGAGGGAGGTGGGTACGAGGGTTCTTGGAAAACGC